CGATTTGTCTCCCAAATTTCCAGACGAGGTGCCTCTGTGGCGTCTCTCAGCTTCCTGGAGTTTCTGAACCCAGAGACCCCGAGCTCGCCGAAAATCCCGGCGTCGAAGTCCACGGAGTTTCCGAACAAGTTCCTGGGATTCCTGTTCAAGAGCAGTGCGATCGTAGGCTTCATCATTGCGGTGTTCCCACAGAAAACTGCGAATCTCCTTATAACGTGCACGGGCTGCTTGTGCGTCAGCTGCTGGAGGCCATGGACGGAGATCCCGAGGTGCACGCACCAAGAATCTGAGAGAGTGCTCGCGCAACTGCTGCGTTATGAAATACCAACATTCATAATAACCCATGCGCGACAAAATACCTGAGCGCGTCGATCACCGTCTCCTGGGAGGCCCAGTCGTCGAGTGCCGCGCAGAACTGTTCGTCAATCGAATGTCCATTGGAGGCTGCTTCTGAGGGCCGACTGCGTTGACACCAACTCTGCATAAGCTTATCCATGTCCCATCTCGGTCTCTCGGCAACGTCCTCTTCAAACCAGTGCTGATACTGTAAATCCATCACAACAGGACAGAGGTCTACATTTCTACTGAGTGAGCGGGCCGTCTTAGTGAGCTGGAGGAGGAAACCTGCACGATATCGTACTTCCACTTTGGGAATCGGATCAAACATCCTTTGGGAATCCCAGTGTAACCCACTCGGGCCTTACTGCTACCATTGCCAGAGAAGAACGTAATGTCTGCACCTTCAGCTCGATGAGTGTTCGCCAGTGCCATGTGATGAATGTGGAGTATACGTATCCAAAGTGCCGTCGTCGGTGACTCTATGCTGGGGTTGTACGTTCCAACTGCATCGCCTTCTCGCACTGCGTACAACTCATGCCCAACTTTGCTATATCCACAATGAACGTTCTCATCCATTAAGAGGATTGGGGTACACGTCGATGGTAGATATGCGAAGAGATCTTCCACCCATTGCAATTACATATCTCGCCAACGCCGGCTGCTCTCATCATCATGTGTTTCCAACATACTGTACAACGTGATAAAACAAATATCATAATCTGTTCGCCATTTCTATCGAACTGCGCCACCTCGGCCTCTTACTTCCTTTGGTGGCTCCCAAAATTTAATCCTCCTGTGTTCGGGAAAAACCTGCGCACCACCGCCAGCATGCACCCCGCTGAGCTCGAAGTGCCTGTCTGCTTCACGGTCCGCTTCGTCGGTCGGTCCTCTGCGCGTCTCTGTCGGCCACCCGCTTGCTGGTGAAGGTGAGTGAGCTGTCATGGGAAGGCTGCCTCTGCGTCTGGCATGTGCCAGTAAGCGACACCACGAGCGCCGGCTCGAAGTAGTGAAGAACGTCCCCGAGCGCTCGTCTGATCGGTAAGGCCTGCGGGTTGTACTGCACACATCGTAGCCTCCATCCATTATGAGCTCCTGTCGGTGTCGAGGGCTACATATTCCTTTGGATGTACATTGAATCCACGACACAAAATGCGCGCGGGGGGACAAGCAGCGTTGATGTCCACCGGTCAGAAAAGAAAAGATGTTGTGTCCGCCGCGCTGAGACAACAGCTCGAGCATGAGGGCAGCGCTATGATGATGATGACGATGATGATGATGCTGATGATGATGATGATAATGACGATAACGATGACGATGACGATGACGATGACGATGACGATGATGATGATGATGATGATGATGATGATGATGATGATGATGATGATGATGATGATGATGATGATGATGATGATGATGATGATGATGATGTGATGGAGAGAGCGAAACCACCGCCGCTTTACTGTGGAGAATTCCCCCCCTTTTCCTCCGCAGCCCGGGGGTCCCCCCCCTCCTCTCCGAAGATCCCCCCGCCCTGCTGGACCCCCCCCCCGGCAAAACCCTGCCCCCCCTAACCCTCCCCCCGCCCCCCGAAAAACCGGGGGGGGTCGCTACCGGTTCGACCCCCCCCCCTCCAGAAAACAAGGAGGGTGTCGCTACCGGTTCGAACCCCTCCCCCTCCCCTCCAGAAAACCGAAAGGCGTCACTACCAGATTGAACCCGCCCTTCACCCCCCCTCCAGAAAACCAAGGGGGGGTCACTACCGGTTCGAACCCTTCCCCCCCTCCCCCCCGCAGAAAACCAGGGGGGGTCACTGCCGGTTCGAATCCCTCCCCCCCCCTCCAGGAAACCAAGGGGGTCACTACAAGTTCGAACCGCGCCCCGCCCCCCCCCCTCCAGAAAACCGGAGGGGGTCACTACCGGTTCGAACCCCCCCCTCCACTCCTGGGTCCCCACCACCGTCCGCACCACATCCCCCACTGCTGTCCCCAACACCAATGTCCTCACCACCACTGTGCCCACTGTTCCCACCACCGTCCCCACTGTCCCACTGCCCCACCACTGTCCCCGCCGCTGTCCCACTGAGCTGTCCCACTGTTCCCACTGTCCCCACTGTCCCCACCACTGTCCCCACTATACCTCTGTCCCATTGTCCCACCGTCCCACTGAAATGTCCCACTGTGCCCACCACTGTCCCCACTGTCCCCGCCACTGTCCCCACTGCACCTCTGTAACATTGTCCCACCACCGTCCTCGCCCCCGCCCTCACAACTGTCCCCACCACCAGTCTCCACCACTGTCCCACTGTCCCCACCACATTCCCACTGTCCCCACATCACTGTCCCCACCACCACACCCACCACTGTCCCACAGTCCCCGTCACTGTCCCACTGTCCCCACTGTTCCCACCATTGTCCCCACCACCATGGCCCCCACTTGTGTCTCACTGCCCACACTCTCCCCGCAAATTGTCCCACCACGGTCCCCACTCTCCCCACTGTCCCCACCGTCCCCACCACTGTCCCACTGTCCCCACTGTCCCCACCACTCCCCCCACTGTACTAGGGAACCGAACTCTATACACCGACGCGTTTCTGGCCCTGCACTGCAACTTGCACACAGGAACACGGATCCTGGTGTATACGGGGTCCATACATGTTTCGTCGTTTCCCCCAGAAAAGGACAAACAAATATACACCACACCACCCCGACGACGTCCCCGACCCTCGCAAAGTCCTGGGACTGAAAAACAGCCCGCCACTGGTAATGTATATGTTCCACTTTCCGATGTACTACTGTCCCACCACCGCCTTCACCACTGTCCCCACCACTACCATCACACCACTGTCCCACTGTCCCCACCACTGTCCCGCAGTCCCCTCCCCACTGTCCCCACCACCGTCCCCACCACTGTCCGCACCACTGTCCCACTGTCCCCGCACCACTGTCCCCACCACCACCGTTCCCACCACTGTCCCAGTATCCCCACCACTGTCCAACTGTCCCGAGGAGCGGGAATCGTTTGCTGACGGCGAGGGGGGGGGGGGATTCGAACCGGTAGTGACCCCCCCCCCAGTTTTCGAGGGGGGGGGAAAGGGTTCGAACCGGTAGTGACCCCCTCTTCATGATGGACTGGGGGGGGGAGGGGTTCGAACCAGTAGTGACCCCCCCTGGTTTTCGAGGGGGGGGACGGGTTGGGAACCCCCAGTGACCCCCCCCGGTTTTCCGCCAGCAGCGGTAGAACACGCTCTTTATGATGATGATGATGATGATGATGATGATGATGATGATGATGATGATGATGATGATGTTGATGATGATGTTGATGATGATGATGGTGATGATGGTGATTATGATGATGATGATGGTGATGATGATGATGATGATGATGATGATGATGGTGACGGTGATGATGGTGATGGTGATGGTGATGGTGATGGTGATGGTGATGGTGATGGTGATGATGATGATGGTGGTGGTGGTGGTGATGAGAATTGACGGCAACGACGACGATGGTGGTGATGGTGATGATGATGATGGTGATGGTGATGCTGATGCTGATGCTGATGATGCTGATGATGATGGTCTTGATGATGGTGGTGGTGGTGATGATGACGATGACGATGACAATGACAATGACCATGACTATGATCGGTGATGGTGGTTATGATGACGGTGAAGAAGATGACTAATACGATTATAGCGATGACGGTGATGATGATATTGATGTGGGTTGTGATGATGATGATGATGATGATGATGATTGTGGTTGTGATAATGCTGATGGTGGTGGTGGTGATGATGATAACTTCCTCAAGATGAGTGTGTAGTGTGTGAGAGTGCGTGAGTGTGTGCGATGGTGGTGATGATGTGGTGATGGCGAGTGTGAAAACATGGTGATGCTGATAATGATGACCTGTGATCATGACGGGATTATATCAATGCTGATGATGGTGTGATGGTGATGATGAATGTGCAAGGAGGAGAAGAGGAGGTTATTGATGGTGAGTGATGTTGATGGCGAGTATGAAATGAGGAGAGAAAGATAGAGGGGATGAGGTGTTCCTCCTGCGCGGGGGCGTGCAGAGAAAACTAAAATCCCACTTAGGGTGTGGGGGAAACACACACACACAAAAAAAAAAAAAAAAAAAAAAGACAAAAAACGAACGACCAAACAGACAAACAAACAAACCAACAAGCAGGCAAGCAAACAAGAGTGTCTTCCCGACCGAATGGTTCTAGAGCTCCGAATCCTGTATTTTTGTCGTCGTTCGTCGTCGTCCGCCACCTTGGCCATTTCGGACCTCCCTGACCCCAGGCCCCGCGGAGCGGCCCCGAAAGGCCCGAAGAGACCCCGAGGTAGCACCAGGATGGCCCAAAAATGCTCCTCCCTCCCGTCACCCTCCCCGTGCAAGAGCCTGGGCATGCGTGCCGGTCACCGTGCCACTTGAGCGACGACAAAACACGGCTCTTACGCGAGATGACCCAGCGACCCTACCGGGCGGCTTACGCAACCCGCCAGCGCGGCATGCCACACCGGAAACGAAGGCGCTCGCGCGCGACCTTACGCGAGCAGCTCGCGCGCCAATGTCGGAGACGAACCCGTTGTCCTCCGTCGCCCACCTCTTCTCTGGAAGCGGGAGCTCCACCACAAGAGGCGCCGCCTTCCCGACCGGGTGGTTCGCGTACGCGGTGGAATAGTGGTTCAGGCCGAAGAACTCTGAGGTGCCCTTGACGAGCTGCTTCTCCTGCCCGCCGCCCGGCCTCCGCCCCTCCACCCACGTACCTCCTCCTCCTCCTCCTCCTCCTCCTCCTCCTCCTCACCCTGCGACGGCAGCGACGGCGGCAACGTCGAGGCCGACGACGCGACGGCGAGCGCCGACGAGCGCCTCGACGACGACGACGACGACGACAACGACGACAACGACGAGGACGACGACAACGACGACAACGACGAGGACGACGACGACGACGGCGGCGGAGGCGGCAGCGGCCCCAGCGGCGACGGCGGCAGCGGCGACGGCGACGGCGACGGCGACGGCGACGGCGACGGCGACGGCGACGGCGAGCGACTGCGACGGCGACGGCGAGGACGACGACGCGACGGCGACGCCGACGAGCGCCTCGACGACAACGACGACGACGACGACGACGACGACGACGACGACGACGACGACGACGACGACGACGACGACGACGGCGGCGGCGGCGGCGGCGGCGGCGGCGGCGGCGACGGAGACGACGACCCTGGCTTTGCTCAAAGAGGGCCCCCCGAGTGGCCCCGCGATTGGGTCCTCCTCGGTGAAGGAGGGCAGCCTCTCGCCGCACCGCGCCCGCATGGTCGCGGGGTAGTCGCCCTTCCTCGGAGCCCCCGCTTCGGGTGGCAGGGAGGCAAAGAGAGAAGGAAGGAAGAAAAGAAGAAGGGAAAGAAGGAAGGACGGAATACGGAAGGAAGGAAGGCAGAGGGCAAGGAGAGAAGGAAGGAAGGAAGGAAGGAAGGACTCAGAAAAAAAGGATTGGCCTGCCTCCAGCTCAGCGGTGCAGAGGGCACCGCAGATCGGCCCCACCTCAAGAGGCGAAGCGGCGAAAGCGCTCACAGGTTCGGCATGTAAATGTAAAGGGGGCATGATGGAAGAAAGGATGGAAGGAAGGGAGGAAGGAAGGGAGGAAGCAGAGAAGGAAGGAAAGGAGGCCGAAGATGAGGACGAGGACAGGGACAAGGAGGGATTGCCTCAGTGCCCGAATGCATGAAGAGATGAGGAATCAAAAGAAGGATCGAAGATCGGGAAACCAGGCGTTTGACGGATCGAGAACCGAGAATCGAGGTTGTTGTCTGAACAACTTGTCTGTATGGGCTCTACGTTGTCTGTATGTATATATATATATATATATGTATACATAGAGAAAAAGGAAAAAACAAAGAGAGAGAGAGAGAGGGATGGAAATAGAGAGAGAGAGAGAAAAGAAAAAAAACAAAAAAAAAAAAAAAAAAAAAAAAAAAAAAAAAAAAAGGTGCGCTGCCTGATCTGGAGTCGGTGGGGCCACGTGTCCTCCCGTTGCCTGCCCTGGCGCCCGTGCGGCTCCCCGCATGCTCTCCCGTGTGGTCTCCCGTCCTGGGCTCCCGCATGGGCTCCCGCAGTTAGGGGCCCGCATGCGAACCCTACCCCTACCCCCCACGACTCCTGAGGGGGAGGGTAGGGTTCACTTTGTTCGGGAGCTCCCGAGCGAAGTGAACCCCACCCTCCCCCTCAGGAGTCGTGGGGGGTAGGGGTAGTGGGCTCCCGCGCGGCCTCCCGCGCGGCCTCCCGAACGCTCTCCCACGTACTCTGCCACATAATCTCCCGCATGGTCCCCAATCTGGTCTCCCGCACAGCCTCCCGCACGGTCTCGCGCGTGCTCCCGTGCGCTCTCCCGCATGGCCTCTCGCACGGCCCTCCCGTGCGGTCTCCCATAGCCTCTCCCGCGTGGTCCCCCGCATAGCCTCCCGCAGGCTCTCCCGGGTGGTCCACCGAATGGTCTCCCGCATAGCCTCCCACATGCTCTCCCCCACATGGTCTGCCGTACGGTCTCCCGCATGGCCTCCCGCATGCCTGCTGTGTAGTATGCTCTCCCGCATGCTCTCTCGCACGGTGTCCTGCAGGCTCTCCCGTGAAGCCTCCCGTGTGGTCTCCCGTCTGGCCCCGCGCGTGCTCCCGGCATGCTCTCCCGGAGTCCCTCCCGTCTGGCCCCCGTATTACCTCCCGCATGCTCTCCCGCATGGCCTGCCGTGTGGTCACCCGTATGGTCTCCCGCATGCCCTCCCGTGCGCTCTTCCCTAGGGGCTTCCACGTGCTCACCCGCAGAGTCGTCCACGTGATCTCCCATGTGGCCTTCTGCACGATCTGCTTTATGGTCTCCCGCATGGTCTCACGTATGATCTCTCGCATGGTCTAGAGTATGCTCTCCCGTGTGGTCTCTCCCATATGGCATCTCGCATGATCTCCCGCACGATCTCCCGCATGGCCTCCCGTGTGGGTTTTCCTCCTCCTCCTCCTCCTCCTCCTCCTCCTCCTCCTCCTCCTCCTCCTCCTCCGCCTCCGCCTCCGCCTCCGCCTCCGCCTCCGCCTCCGCCTCCGCCTCCTCCTCCTCCTCCTCCTCCTCCTCCTCCTCCTCCTCCTCCTCCTCCTCCCCCTCCTCCTCGACCCCTCGGCGGCGCTCCAGATCGGGTCCGCGAACCAGCCCAGCTGCCAGTCCAGGGCGCGGCCGGCCGCGGCCTGGCGCGGCGGGCCCCCCGGCAGGGCCCGGGGAGGGGCAAAGCGAGCGGCAGCCACCGCACGCCGCCGCGGGGAGCCGTCGGCGGGCTACAGCGGCCCTACAGGCGGATTTTGGACGAAAACTAATAAATACTCATCCTAAAATCTTCCCCAGACTATTATTTTACTATTCTTGAGCACTCCCCCGGTAGAAGGACAAGCCCGACTTGAGGCTACTGGTGCAAAGCCCCCACGTCCCTGAGATCCTGGCGACTCGATGTTCGTTCGAGCCGGGCGTCGTCGCGTCTCTTCGGCTCCCGGGGCCCTCACAGATCGGTGCGGCTCGCAAAAGGACGCAGAAAGATGGGGTCCAGGGCTCCGGGCGCGGATTTTCATGATGTTGCAATGTTTTCGCTACGTCGGATCTCAAGGATCCTCGCGTCGCGAGAGAATCACGGCGGGAGAATCACGGCGGGCCAGTGCCCGCTTCCGGGAGCCCTTCGCCGGGGCCTCGGGGCCGTCGGCGGGATGCACAGCTGGTCCCTGGGGAGGGATCCAGACATCTGGGGAGCCAGGTTGTGAAAAAAATCTCGGCGTCGGATGCCTGGGCTGGGCCAGTGGTAGCTCTAGAGGAACATCGCCCTGGACGGCTCCTGAAGGAAATATCGGCTCCAGACTGGGCTCGGGTCGAGTTGGAACGTGCGTCGGATCGGGCCGCATTGGCACGGAGTAGGAATCGAATGGGCTCGGCAGCGCCCAAATGCACAACAGCGCCATCAAGCACCGCATCGGACCACCAGGAGATCGAAACCGAATCGGATGGAGTCGGGCAAACCGAACCGAACCGGAACCGCATCGGAGCACCGAGTCGAATCGATCGACAGACAGAGGCCCTGCCTCAAGCCGGGCCTGCTCTCTAACATCGGAGGCGTCCCAGAACGGAGCGTGGAAGAGGAGGGTTGGCAGAGCATGGCCCGAGGCACGAGCGCAGACGAGCGGGGGCCAAAGAACGCACGAAAATCGTAAGCATCCGCCACCGTGCCGCTGGGCACGGAGTGGGCGTGTCATCAGGTCCTATGCCCAATCCCCCGAGCCTCAGTGCTCAGCTCTGAAGAACGCAGGGGCCCGAACCCCGGACCTTGTCGCGTGCCCCTCCCCCGACCCTTGTCGCGTGAATTATTCGGGCCCCAAAGCGGCCCCAAGACGGGCCAAGAGGGCCCCACGAGGCCCCCAAGACGGTCCAAGAAAGCCCCAAGTCGCCGAAAGAACGCTCCAAGACGCTCAAGATGGCCCCGAGATGGCCCAAGAGGCCTCCAAGACGCTCCGAGAGGCCTCCAAGAGGCCTCCCAAGAGGGCCCCAAGAGGCCCAAATCATTGATTTTCCGAGGGTATGTGAAGGAATTTGGCGTTCTCGCCGTTTCGGCTTCCCGACGCTCCAGGACGGCCCAAGAGGCCTCCAAGAGGGTCCCAAGGCAGTCCAAGAGCGCCCCAAGACTGCGCAAGAGGCGCCCAAGACGGCCCAAGAGGACCCCAAGACGGCCCAAAAAGAGGCCCAAGAGGGAGCACGAATGGAAAGTCCGAGCTTTCCACCTCAAGGGGCCCCCAAGGCCCCAAGAGGCGCCCAGGAGGCCCCAAGCGAGCCCCAAGAGGCCGCCAAGACGCTCCAAGAGGCCCCCAAGAGGCCGAAAAGAGGCCCGAAGAGGCCCCGAAACGACCCCCAAGAGACCTCCAAATTGCCAGGGCCGGGGGCCTCTGGAACCCTCCGCGGCGTGCAGCTGCAGCAGCGACCCCGCCAGCACAATCCGCAAGGCCTGTCCACCCTACGACCTGGTGAACGTTTGCCTATTCCGCGTTTCGACAGTAGGCGGAAGGGGGGGAGAGGGGGGGGTCTGGCCCTGGACCTCTGCTTCACGCAAGTGTTTGCAACAGTGCGTTCTCTGGGGGAGCCCCCACCTGCTCGAAACAGGCGCCAAGAAACAGCCAGTATCAACTCCAAGGGACGGAGGGGAGGACGTGCGAGGGTCTGCGCCGAGTGGCAACAACTATCACTTGGGACCAGGGCTGGACCTAAACGTTGCTTGTCGTTTTGTGTTCGTTTTGTGATTCGTTTTGCTATACCTGTTTTCCTGTACCTCCCTGCCGAAACGAAAAACGATAACATTGCCGAAGTCCAGCAAAGCAGCGTTTAGGTCCAGCCCTGCTTGGGACTCGGGGCCGGAAAAAACACCCTCATAGTAAGCACCCCGACGAGCAAAGCCTTTAGCAACCGCGCCCAGGAAAGGGATCGAACAGGGCAGGGCTGTTTTGTGGTAAACGCCCCATGCTGCTCAGGAAGCTCCGATTGTGGGGCTCGGGGTGCTTCCTCCTCCCTTAACCTTAGTCCGGCATTGGCAGAACTGGGTTTAGTAGGACCTGGCTTAGTGATGTGTACTGGGGGACGCCCCTCCGCCACGTTCCACTAACCGGAACTGCCGTCACCTGGAAAAACACGAGCTACGGCAGACCTGGTTTAGTGATTCTGGCCAGTTTAGGGGCTCCGAGGCCCTACCACTAACCGGATCCCCTTACCTGGGGTCCTGGCTATACCCGATTTAGGACTGAGGGCAGTGGCTTGGCCATTCTGTTCGCTGGGCGCAGGCGCCGCCGCCGCCGGCCTCCTAGTCGGCGCCCTCCGCGCCAGCGCCGACGTCGTCGCCGACGCAGTCGCCGTCGGCGTCGCCGTCGCCGTCGGCGCGTTGTCGCCGTCGTTGGCGTTGCCGTCGGCGCCGCCGCCCTGGCTAACGAGCCTCTCGGCCGCCTCGGCGGGGACGTCGCGCGGCAGCTCTCGGCCACGGCCTCCGCCGCCCTCGCCGCGCGCCCGACCGAGCTGCTGCGTGCGGTGGCACAGGACGCCGAACTGCGCCCACGGCGGGACGCACGCAGGCTGCCCTGATCGGCCATCCACCCCAATGCCTTGCAATGCGTTGTCCGCCTTGCCGCTGCCAGGAAACTGCCCGGTCATCGTGATCATCACCGTCACCACATAGTCGGCACAAGCTCCCCCACATCCTCCTCCTCCACGATGATATCCTCCTCCTCGTCCTCCTCCTCCTCCTCCTCCTCCTCCTCCTACTCTTCTTCTTCCTCTTCCTCTTCCTCCTCCTGCTCCTGCTAGTGCTCCTGCACTTCCTCCTCCTCCTCCTCCTCCTCCTCCTCCACCTCCTCCTCCTCCTCCTCCTCCTCCTCCTCCTCCTCCTCCTCCTCCTGCTGCTAAGACACTTTTGACGGACACGCACACTCTGTGACACTACAACTACCGTAGGTGGCACTCTGCGCCCTCTCCTGCCTGCTCACGACACGAACACGCGGCCGTAGGCAACCCTAGCCGCGGCGGCCGCGGGCGTGCAGCCGAGCGCCAACAAATCAATGCTGGCGCACGCGTGCTGCACGACGCGCTCGAGGGCGGCGCGCCAGCGCGGCAGCAGGCGGGGCGCGGCCCAAGCGCCCCGGAGGTTGCACCCGGCGTGCGTCGGCAAGATGTCCAGAGAGCGCAGCGAGTCTTGCCCGCGGCCGCAGGACCCCCCCGCTATAGGCAGCACGTCGATGCCGTAGCACGCGCGCTTGTCCGCAGCCGCCGCTGAGGCCGCCTAGCCTGGGCAGGAGGCAGCGCGCGTGTGGGCAGCGGATCGAAACGTCGATGTAGATCGGCTGCACGCTGCCCGGAAACGTAACGTAATTACAAATCCAGGAAGGCCTCCTCGATGGAGCCATTCCTCCTTGTCCGGCTCAGCCCCGGGACCGTGCGTTCCATGTCGACCTCCGCCCAGCACGCGCGCAGCAGCCTGGCAACCGCTGCCGCGAGAGCCCTGCGCGGCGCGTGCGCGCAGGGCCGTGCTTGCACAGCTATGGATACTGGAGGGTGGGGTCCTGCAACTGTCCACACACTTCCGCTCCATCTCCACCCCAGCACGGGATGCGGCACGTGGCACCTCGGGGGGCCTCAGGCGCGCCAGGCCTGCGCAAAGACATCACGCGGAAGTGGTAGGACGGGAAGAACCCGGCAGGCTCGGCGGGCATCTGCATCCAGAGCGCCCCAGCCCCAGCGCCTCCAGCTGACAGCATGCCTTCGCGCCGCTCGGCGCCCAGCCTGTGCCATAAGCGGGTCGCCGCCAGCGCCTGGAAGTGTCGGAAGACACGGCTCGCCAAGCGCCTCGGCAACCCAGACGGCCGCTGGCCTGGGGCGGCCGCTTGCGGCGTCGCCTCTGGCAGCTGTCGCAAAGAGCCCAGGTCGTCACTGGCCACGTCCTTGGCCCAGGGGCCGCCTCCGTGTTCCTCCGCGGCCGCTGGCGCGTGCCGGACCCCGCCGCCAAGGTCAACGATGACGCCCTGGGCGGCCAGGCGCTGCCGCGCACCCTCGGCATCGTCGGCACCATCGCAGCAAGCGATTCGCAACCCAAAGCCAGCGGCCACAGCGGGCACCCGCGCGCGCATGGAGGCCCAGGCTCCCCACAGCGCTGCGTCGGCCATGACGCCCTCCGCCTCGCGGCGCAGGCCCAGCCCGCCGAACGCACCCGAGAGGCGCACTGGCAGGACAGACTCTTCCCGAAAACCATATCCTGAATGATCTCCTCTACACGGCTACTCACAGGGTCGGCCACAGCGCCCAACGCCTGCGAAGGCACTAAACGCGCGTCGAGAGAAAGAGCATGAGATACCGACTCGGACATCATGAGCCACGCAAGGTGCGTGGATGTGATGGCGGGGTGAGCCACTGCGAACTCCCGAATGCGCTCCGCGAAGGCGGCCGCCTTCTGCGCCCGCGTCACGACCGGCTGCAGCAGGAGGCCCGCCCTGCCAATCTGGACTGCGAGCTCTCCGTCCAAAGGTGCGGACGCGGTGCCCGCCCTGGGCGAGGCTGGCCTCCACTGCCGGCCACGCGTTCGCAAGCACGCTGGCCTTCGAGAAGATGCAGGTGTCGCCCTGGTAGCCGACGCGGCTGCAGCTGGGCGAAGGGCGCGGGGACCTGGCGTTCGCTTGCGGGAGGGCCTGTGCTCCTGTTCCTCCTCTTCCTCCTGTTCCCGATGCTCCTCCTCCTCCTCCTCCTCCTCCTCCTCCTCCTCCTCCTCCTCGGGAGCGCCTTGCCTTGTCCTCTGCTTTCTCGCTGAGAGGCTCACGCCAGTCCATGTTGAGGGTGATGCCGATCACGCCCTGCTGGGCGGATTTGAATTCGTCCCGGTACCGCTTCACCGCTTTTGCATGGGCCAGGATGATGTGGTGGGCTGCCAGGTAAGGCTCCTGCAGGCAGGGCCAAGCAGAGAAAGGGGAAGGAAGTTCGGGGGGGGAGAGGAAGAGCGGGGAGGACAAGGAGGAAAAGGGGACAGGGGAAGGATATGGAACGGAAAAAGGGAGGGAAGGATGCTGGAGAAATAGATTGAAGAGGAGTCTGGGGAGGACAAGACAGGCGCGCTCGCGCCACATCTGACATCCGACCCAGTCTTCCCATCCCACTCCGTAGTGCCCAATACGCTTGCATTCACAAGTCATATGTCAAATTCAAAGCTTGACATTCGAATTGCAATTACAGCGCGAAAGGGCCAGGGGCCACGCACAAGAATGGAGGAGGGGGGTGGGGAGGACAACGGGGACGAGGTGGAGGAAGAAGAGGCGGAAGCAGAGGAGGGCGAGCGGGAGGACTCCTCCCAGAGGAGGAAGCAAAGCAGAACGACGTCGACGACGACAAGGTTGACGTCGACGACGACGTCGACGACGACGACGACGACGACGACGACGACGACGACGACGACGGCGGCGGCGGCGGCGGCGACGACGACGGCGGCGGCGGCGGCGGCGGCGGCGGCGACGGCGACGACGAGGAGCGCCGCGGGGCCGTCGCCCGGCCAGGGGGCGGCTGGGCGCGCGGGCCTCCGGAAGGACCGTCCCCAGAGGGAGGAGGGCACGGCTGCAGGACCGCCGGGGGGGGGGGGGGGAGAACCGGCGGGCACGCCGAGCACAAGCAGGCGAGAAGGGTCCCTGAGATCCTTGCGACTCAATCCCACCACCAGCCCTCTGGGCGTAGGTGGTTTAGGGAGTTTCCTCTTCCACTCCCCTTCGTCCCCCTCGGGGGG